TGCTGGGGTGTGGTGACATGATAACGAGCTTAATGGTGATCCTTTTGCTGGAATGAAACCTCTTCCCTGGATGTTCTCTTTTCCTGGCATTCTGAAAGCCGAACATGAGACCCGTCAGGACGTAGAGGACCCTTCTCAGTGCTGGTCCTTATTTTGTTTCCCTCTGTGCTCCTTTCAACTTCAACTCCCCTGTAAAAGGTATGTGTCATTTTAGAGAAGCACTCCTCTGCTTGATGACATTTTATTTCCCAGCATTTCAACTTATCCTTTTCCTCCCCGTGTTTTTTGTACACTATTTTCTATGCTTAATGGGACATTATTAGTTTTATTTATAAGGAATACTGTTACTCATTGTTAGGTGATAGACTGTGTTGCATTCCAATAACCTGACATAACTGGCTGCAGTTTGCCATGGTTTTTAATAACGCTTCCTTCAAAACAGATGAACTGGTATGCTTGTGTTGATCAGTAACTAAAAGGCAGAAAATAAGGCAGCATGTGAAGCTCGTAGATGCAGTACACCTATGAGCTCTCTTGGTCTGATCAGCAGCCTTATGGTGGGTTTAATTTGCAAATCATTATTTGGACAAAACTGGGACAGAGTTCAAACAGCTGAATCTCCGTTGGTCCTGAATAACTTCACAAGCATCAGCCTTTCAGTGTCTGCAGCTCTGAAAGCAGATGCACTGTTTATTTACAGACAGATGTAACTGAAATCTCACATCTACACCTAATTCTGCACTGCCACAATGAACAGTTTTTAAAACCTGCATGGGCACCTTAGCATCACTCAGGCAGCAGGACAGGAGACGTGTCCTGTGGAGCTTGGCCTCCCATGGCCAGTGACACCAAGTAGCAGAAAGAAGAGAAGAAACTTCCCACTGCCCTCTCTCGTGTCCTCGGCTCCAGAGCACCACTTCAAGTGGTGGTAGCAATACAGGGCAGAGCGTTAGGAGAATGTGTTGTTTCTGTTTGCGTTTATGGTGTTTATTCAGCTATGAAAAGCATCAGTAGAAGCCCTTGCTGAAACTAAAGGTGTTACTGTGCTGTTCACCTAAGCAGAAGAACAGGGGAGATTTTTAATAGCCTTCATCCGCTCCATGCCAGAGCAGTTTGGGTGCAGGCTACCAGACAGATCCAGTGACGTTAGCTGGAGTTTATAACTTCCAAGGCTGCAACTCTCAGAGTGAAACCAGCCATGTAGCTCATCCTGAAACCTGAGAGCTAAATTAATCCATCTGCCCAGCCATGGGGCTATGTAGGTGTTTAATGCTTTCCATAATCACGTAATAGTGCAAAAGGCAGTACAAGCAATCTGAAACGTGGATCCCTGAAGTCTCATGCCTCAGGAAATGTCTTTGTTTCTGAATCGTGTGCCTTTAAGTATTTTTCAAGTGCTCATGGACCATGCAGTCAACTGTTTACACAACAAGTGAATTTCTGAAAATATGCTAACTGATTTTCATCCATAATATCTTGAAAAAAACAGTGAGGTAGCCTCATCAGATACAATGGCTAGTGCTGTTCCTCAAGAGGTTCTGGGTTCAAGGAAGACTAGCACTCAGTGCCTTCTGTTTAAAGGCATTTAAATGGCTGATTCTTCTTTGTTCTTCTGGAAACTCTCTTTCTTTAAATTTACGGGTGAAGATTGAGGGACTTTGTGGCTATTTCGTAGACCAGCAACAGAAGGAGAGAAGAGCTGCGTGTGTGTCAGTGTTGTACATGTAGCACATAATATGTGAACACACAGTATATGAGATTGGGTTACTTATATTTTTTAAAAAATCAGAATAATTGGTTAATTTGTTTTAAAGCCATGGAAAGCAGAATTTGTTCTTTTTTTCTTTTTTTTTAAGGCCTGCAGTAGGCACAGACTATGAAAACCCGCATTATTAAAATTGACAATCACAATAATGCTCTAAAATCCATGGGAAGAGGCTCTGATGATTGAAAAGCCAAGGAAATCATCAGCAGTCAAGGGCAGACAGGGATCCTAAAGGGATTCCAGCTTGTAGAGAAGAAATAATACACCAGGAAGTTACAAATGGAATTAATTGGTTCTTCAAGTAGAACAGTTACAGGAGGAAGGAGGATTATACATATGTATTATTATTTAAATAATGCAATGAATAGAGGACTCCAGACCTGCGGGTAGCACACAAACACTTACTAAGAGACCCTGGGCTGCTGAAATAAATCTGCATTACAACTGGGCAAGGAAGGAGGAGAATAAGGTACAGCAGCTCCACTTGAACTGATTTCAGCTCATGATGAATTTGTTAAAACTTTAGACCTTCAGGTTTTAAAAGCACATCTTTGAACACTGAAAAATTGCATTTGTTTTCCATTTGTTTGTTTATTCAGAGGTCCTTGGCTGCTCTGAAATAAGCCGCTTCAGAGTTGGAATTCTGCAAGCCTGACATTTAAATGGCAGTTTCAGTTGTATGTAATTTTCTTCTTCAGTTCTTTTGGGAGTATTTTAGTGTCCTATTACGCAGTGACTGTACTACAGACTAAAGATGTCTGCGTACCGTGGCTTGCATGTCCTCCTGTGGTTTGTCCCTAGTTCTAGGCTTGAGTTCTGTGTGGGAAGCTTATAAGATTTGAGAAATGTTGTTGTTTGTAGTTTGGCTGTATGCTCTTTAAGTGTGAAGGTGTTGGATAAACAGATAGTACTGTTCTAATTGTGAAGTGGAAAATCTTCCACAAATTTTGAGACAGGAACTTGTCATAGCAACTATACTATTTCCATTAGAGGAAATCCCTATAGCATCTTCTACATAGACTCCGTGTCTTTCTCCTAAAACGCATAAACCAACTTTTTGCTTTTCCTAGCTCTTATAATTAGCAGGGATAAAAACGTTTGAAATTTCAACAAGCTTTTCTGCTGGAGTGCAGATGTGATTCTTGGTGACTCAAACGTTTCCCAGAACTTCGTTACCCTCTATATAATTATTCCAAAGAATTATCCTTCCAAAATTAGAAGAAAAAAACATGTAATTACAACTGCGATATTAACATACTTAATGTCTGCCTAATGTCTGAGTATCAAGTCAGAGGCTGTATTTTCAAGCAATATACACACTGTAAGCAAAATGAATCGGGCCACGCAATTTCTTGAACAAAGATGCTAAATATATTGAGCCCCACGTGATTTATGTCATGATTGGCCACGGAGCTTGAAGAGAAACTGAGGAAAGTGACATTTTCTTTCTAATTACTCTTTCTCTACCCTCTTTCTCCTTTACATATTGATCCGGCTGTTTTGCCAAGCGCAGCAATCGGCTCATCTCGCCGAGGGCTGCCGAGGTCCTGCCCTGCGTTTTGCTGGCCTCGCCGTTTTCCCGGCCCCTCGCCGTGCACTTTCAGTACATCACCCAGCAGAAAACAGCTCGCGCGTCCGTAGCTTCATCCTCTGCTGATTGTTGCAATGAAGGGGCTCAGCACAGGGGCGGGCACGGGCCAAAAGCGCCTTGGGGAAGGGGCTGAGGAAGGGCAGGTGCTCGTTTTCCCCAGGGGGGCAGCAGCGGAGCTGGAGAGGATAGGTGAGCCTGTGTCTGATGCTGTGCTGCATGATTGGAGAGTGGTCTGTAGGCATCATGGTTGTCAGTCCTGCTTCTGTCTTCCCTACAGAAGAAGTTGGTTTTTAATTGGGGCAAGTGTTGCACCCACCAGCCCTGAACTGTTGTGAAAAATGGGGAGCAGGAGGCGTGTCAGGCCAGAGGGGTATGTATGAGCGATGGCGGTGGAAGAAGAGATGCTGCTGAAAGCCCTCGATATGCATTTTGTTTAAGGGGCTAGTTAAGTAGAAACACTAGAGCCTTATATAAAGTCAGGTGCATAAAAGGTTCATCATTTATGTGTTGTTTCTTTTAAAAACATAGCGCCTGGTTCAACTCCCTCTTTCTTTCCAGATAACTTTTTGTGCTTTCTATCTCTTAGTAGCTAATTCGACTCCACCTATTTAAAAAATGAGTTTTCAGGTTTTCAGATTGCTCAGAGTGATTAAATCCTGCTGTACTTTTTGTTGGCAAGGAAGGCAGCGCGTTTATATATGTGGTAGAAAATGTAACTTGCCTCACAGTGTTACATTTGTTGGCAAGGAGCGGTGAGAGCTGGAGCAAGTGGAAAGGAAGGCAGCGCGTTCATATATGTGGTGGAAAATGTAACTTGCCTCACAGTGTTACATTTACGTGACATGACATGCTCATGTGAATCAAATGGGCTATTTTTACGGCATGTATTAAATGTGAAATTGTGACTGGTGTTAGTCAGAGCAGTGCAGGAACTCCTGCCAATGTGCCATGTAATTTTATTTTAAGAATGAAAGGTCTTGAATGAGAACCCTGTATTTCCAGCAAATTTATTCCATTTGTCTAGGGTCAGCTGTGCCCATAGGTTGTTGCCCCCTTTTTGTTTGATTTCTTCCTTACACGACATTTGATTTCATCTCAGAATATGAGCAGAGAAACCTGGATGGCTTCTGCAGCTGTAAAATCGTGTGCAATGCAAGGGAATGTCCCTTCTGTACACAGCATGCTCCGCGTCTTCAGCCAATGTTGACTGAAGTCTCTGGAGCTGTGTTGATGTGTGTAAGCAGAGGAAGAGCCTAACCCAAGAGACCCAGTTGGTTGGCAGAACCCTCAGCTGTGAAATAATCCCTCCCAAAAGCAGAGAGTGAATTGGGTTGGAATTCATGCCAAAAATCATGGTACTGTCTACATTGCAGACCTGGGCCAGGGGTGCATTATTAACGTGGTGATTAGTCTCAGAGCGTGGTAAGTAGTTTGTGGATGCCTGACTTGAGACATTGTGAAGGGACCTCTTTTGCCAGAAAAACTTGTGATTTCAGAAAAATCGGCTCCTTAAAGTCATGTCGTGCTGTGCCGAGGAAAATGCCCGTCTGTTTTTAAAATGTAGCCATGGCTTTGATCCTCCTTCATCAGAACAAGGTGATTAACGCCAGGGACAGACTGACACTTGAGGAAAGAGGGGTCACGATGGCCACCAAACTCCTCTGGACCTCCACTAGCTGCCACCACGCACTGCAGCATGGGCCAGGTCAGGCAGCAGAGGAGCAGCAGCGAATCACTGTTTCAGCTAATTGGGGTCTGTGAAGTCCAAGTACAAGACAGGATCACTGGGGACAAAAGGAGGCAATGCACAGACGAGCACAGTGAAAATAAGAGTGAGGGGGTTTTAATATTTACCTCTGAAGTGTTTCTCATCTCTCATATGTTCATCTAAAGTTCATCTGTCTAAAAATTCAAAAACCAAAAAACCCCCACAAATGTAACTTATGATTTCAGGGAATTATTTTACTGTAATTATAGCTAATCCAATTAAAGGTGATTTGTAATGACTGCAAATTAATTACAGAAATACTGGATTTAATGAGTGGATTACTATTTGTTTTGATAAAAGAGAAAATGCAAATACCAAGGTAGAATATTTAGTTCACTTAGATCATGCTGGGCTCGATACTGCTGGATTTACGGAGCCATTTGTTTCCAAAACGAGGGAGAGCATAGTCCCAGTTGAACACATCGAGACAAATATCAAGCTCTTTTCCTTTCAAAGAATGTATCTGTACGACAGGGTCAGATTTTCTTGATTTTCTTATAATGGAAATCAGATGTGATGTCTGAGGTCAGAACTTGGTGTGATGCATTGGGAAGTAGAGAAGTATCTTTTTTTTTTTTTTAAGTAGATTTTTATTTAATTTTCAGTAAAAGCTTGCTAGCTTGTACCTAGGATGCTGCTTGACAAAAAGCTTCTCTACACACCACGTACCTTTTTCTCCCATTCAGCAACAAGCTGAATCATTGCTGACGTGATTGATACAGTTGTGGCCTGATCCTACAACTGGTAGGATACACAGAGAAATGAACAATCACAGAATGGTTTGGGTTAGAAGGGACCTTAAAGATCATCTAGTTCCAATTCCCCTGCCATGGGCAGGGACACCCTTCACTACACCAGGTTGCTCAAAGCCTCATCTAGCCTGGCCTTGAACACTTTCAGGGATGGAGCAGCCACAAGAAGCATGTGTAGGTGACCAGGTCAGGCAGCCGACAGCCCAGCAAAAGCAAGGTGCGAGACAGTGGTCGCTGACTCTGCAGCGGGTGTGTTGGTGAGCAGTTGGGGGAAACAGCCTTATACTGATGTTGCAAGATGGTGAAATACATCGGTGCGTTGCATCCCTCAGCCCTGAAGCAAAGGCGAGTGCAGGACTAAGCTGTCCAGGGCTTTACTGGGTAGTGTTTTGTGTAAAGGTGTTGGCTGGGGGACAGAAGGCCGATACCGCAGCTCTGCTGTACACCTTCCTGATCAGCAGTGTGAGGTTATCCTGCTTCGTATGGGACAGAGACATGGGAGAACTAAAAGATTTGCTCTGAGGGCTGTGTGTGTGTATTGAAGGTGGAAGAAACACTTGTGGATATAAGGTCCAAGTCTTGGGAAGTCAACAGGTTTATAAAGCCAAGAGGAGCTTACACGTTAAAAAATACAAGTGTCTTGAGGCTCCGTTGGGGGACGCTCCCATTTACCAAGTATTGCATGAGTAGAAACAGAGAGTCTTGTTCCAGAGATGTGCACAGACGTTGGCCTGGTGGTTTCCTTAGTGGGCATGCCATCTTTGTATGTTCACATAACTCTTCTCCTGCCTTTTTCTCCTTTCATCAAACCTTTCACTTCATTTTGACTGTCTGTCTGCTTCTTATGTACGTGCCACCATCTCACCATCCACGTGCTCCCGTGCACGTGGCTTGGCCTTGCTTCATCCTCAAAGCCTTTGCAGCTCTAAGTCTGGGTTGTGCAATTGTATTAGCAGATTTTTTTCAAGCAGCTGACTGTTTGGGTTATGTTATTGAAGGTGATTGACTAAGTAAATGGAAATGAGCTTCCTTCCCAGCAGCTCTTGCAGCAAATTAGGTACGGAACAAACTCTGGTTCCTAAGGAAGTCAGAAACTACTGAGCAACCTGTAATCAAGGTTCTCCTAATGTTGTGTTTTAAGTAGACCCATTATCATAGCTATGTCTTCCTGAAAGCATTTAGACTTCATTACCCCATTAGAGAAATTAACATATTTTAGCTGATAAGCTTCTGGCAGATTCAGAAACTTGCAATAATGCTGGGTGTTGAAGGTACTCTAAAACATGCTTTCATTAAAGGGGTCTTGTGCCTCATAGGAAATATATAAATAGAAAAACCGTAATTAAAATGCCACATTATCTCGTTCTAAACTTAGTGTGTCTTGAAATTTAAGTATACAGCGCTATCATTAGAACTTTACAGTAGATTTTTTCCAATTTTATTAGCATAGCAGAAAAGGAATTGGGTGGGGTTTGTTTTGGTTTTAAAAAAAGTCTGAATTGAAAATGTGACTGTTATAACTGTCTTTAAAGTCGGAATGAATCTTTTTAAACCAGTCCCTGATTCTAAGAGATAGCTGATCATCGTTGTTGTATTCCAAGCAGATTGCACAGGGGCAAGTCAGGAAGAAATGACAAGGAGGATCAGCAGGGTCAACGTGGAGCCAGTGTAAGCGTTGTGTGTAATTGCAAAGTCAACAGAGAAGAGCCAGTTTATGCCAGAATTTCATCTTGAACAAAAATAATAATGAAGTCTATAAACATAGATGTAAGGAGACCTTCTTTTTCGCTTTTTGCAAAAATAGCCAAAATTCAGATTTCCAAATGCTTTCATGGTCAGAAGATACATAAAGCCAGTTCCTGTGATTTGGATTCACAGCAGCTCTCTCCTCCGCAGCTCCTTAATGTTGCAAGTGCAGCACAATTTCTAGTACAGCCTTTCCATCAGTGGGAGCTCCGGTTGGGGTATCTCATCTGAATGAAGCTGCTTGTTCTTATGAGGCTTGTAGGGAATTAGTATTCTTTTAAAATCTGATCAAAAACTTGTGGGAGTCACACAGAGACTGACAGAAAGAGAAAATCAAAAAGTTATTGTGCTTCTCTAACAGTGATAGAAATGGTATATGATCTCTGGAGGGGAAATTTAACTATAGAAGAGCTAAAAGATTTTTGTATTTGTAGGTGTCAGTGGTATTTGTGGTGCAGGGCTGCCTCACTGTGTCCCAAATCAAATTCAGCATCTCACTGTAATGCAGTTGTGAGAGCTCAAGCTACAACCCATATGAAGAGCACCACATGGGCCCTGGGGTAAAAGGGAAAGCATCCAAGGAGAGGTGATCGATACAGCGACTTGATTAGCAAAAGAGTGATGCAGGACGTAAGGCTGCATCATTGGACAGCTCTGATTGTAATTACTGTCACCTCTTCCAGGTTGTTTCTTGTGAAGAGAGAGATTTTACAAGTTTTGCCTTTTGAAATATTCTACAAGTGTTTAAAATTAAAACAAACAAACAAACAAAACAACACCTCACTCCACCCCACCCTCATTCCTGGTTCATGCACAGAAATCTTCGACTCATTATTCTTCACACATCTCCGTAAGTTAAATATCGTTCTGCTTTTTAAGGGGGCCTGCCACAGACACGGGGAGCGTGCACACACACTCCTGTCCGCGTGGGACACGGAGAAATCGTACCGATGCAGGTGGAGGTTTGAGCGCTCTTGCTACTTAATGGGCCCTGGATTATTGGCTGCCTTATTAGTCAATAAATGACCTTCTGTATGCTTCTGGAAAATTATACTTTGATCGATTGTAGGCATGTTGCGTGTTTTTGTTTGTTTGTTTCTGCTGATAGGGAACACCCCAGAAGCGTGGTCGGAGGCAGTGTAGATGCCATTCCCTGGGCACAGCTTTCTGATGTATTGGCCAAGCTGAACGCAGAAGGAGCAAGTTCCCATTCATCAGACTGAGCTTCAAAAGCATGGCAGGGAGAGAGGGTTGTCTCTGTACTAATGATCTAATACACACTGTTTGTATCAAAACTGTCATAGCAAGGACACTGGTGGGAGTAAGAATGCAGTCAACTCAAAGCTGCGCTTCTGGCGTTATCTGGCACGTTTGCAAAATACATCCTTGAAAATGTAATTATACTGAATTCGCAGAGGTCTAGTAAAAAATGTGTCAAGTTGGATGTTTATTCTGATGGTAAACCAACTCTGTTCTCTCTGTGTTGAAATGTGGTCGTGTGTGGGTGTGTAATGATATGTATGCATACACACATAGGTATCTCTGCACATTATAGACAGAATGTGTATGTCGGTGTCTGGGTGCATATTTATATATTTGCTCTCTCACAGATGCCGCAAAGTGGTGATTAGATGCCAAGGATGGTAAATTTTCACAATAACTTTGTGAGGCCAATCTGTGATTATCTGATACTGTATCTTACATAAAAATTACTGCATGGCTCAGGCCTAAATCCTGCCTTCCTCCTCTACTCTAAGAAGTTGGTAAATTCTATATTTCAACTATTTCAAGTGTGGCTTTGATGTCATGGGAACTGCCTCGCCAATGCGCTGCCCCTGGGGTGCCTGCGGTGGGCAGGCGGGTGGGTGGTGGGGGTCACCTCCCGCCACGCAGGCAGCGCTGCTCCCTCCAGCTCTGTGCTGGGCAGAGGACAGTCTGAGGACCTGGTCCAGGCTGGAGCAAAGACCCAGGTACAGGTAGTTACGGGCACCACGGAGTGCTCCCAAATGCTGTCTTTGGCCTCTCCGTGCTGACTTTAGCACAGCGTTTGACCTATGTGACCTCTGCTAAATTTGTAGACGTGGTTATGCCAGGAAGCTCTCTGCTCCAAAAATGCTTGCAAGCTCCGTAGAGAAGACAGGCAAGCAGGCAAGGAAAAAGTAGTAGCTCTGCTGCCGTTTTACTGCTAAAGAACTGAGATGCAAGAGATTAATGGGTGTGCCCAAGGTCATATTGGAAGTCTGCAGCAGAGCCAGGCACTGAATCCAGATACGCTGCATCCCAGCTCAGCGCTGTAGCCGTATTTTTTTTTTTTTCTGCTAGTATTTAAAAGAAATACTGTTCCTAGAGAGGGAAACAAATCAGAAAAATAAGCTGGTATAGTGCGAATGAGAAAAGGTCATTTGTCCTGTTTCATCACTTTGTTGTCCAAAGATCTAA